CTTCTCCTCCTTCTCCTTCTCCTCCTCCTCCTCCTCCTCCTTCTTCCTTCCCTCTTATTCCCCCTTCTCTGTCTTTATAAACCACATTTTTTTCCTTTAATGCTTCCAAGAAATTAATCAATGCTTTAGGCTCTCTTTTTTTTTAACACTCATCAGTTTTATGTTTATCAGCTGTATTGCATGTGCCCACTGCAGAGTATACATTATAATAAAACAAATATACCACCTATTTACAAGTCATGGATAAATTGGGAAGATTAAGCTTAAAATATAGATAATATTTCTATTTAATAATGTTTCTCTTTAAGTGAAATATGAATTTGCAACTCTTCTGGTCTAAGAAAACCCCATTATTTTAATAAGCAATGGATCTCAAAGCTTTGAAATCTCTGCCTTCATAAATGCTGTGATATTCTTTATTTTATTTTATACTGGTGTGAAAAACAATTTCTACAAACTCTGGCTAACTCTTATACTGGAGCTCTGGTGGCCTAGTGGTCAGAAGCTGTGTTGAAATCCAAAAGGCACACTGAAGCCACCAGCTGCTCTGCGCGAGAAGGATGGACAGTCTTTTCTTGTGCAATTAAGTGACTCTGAAAACATGCCAGAGGGCTAGCTATGGGTTTATTCCAACCCTATGGTAAACAACAACATGGCCATAAGACAACTGGTGCCTCCTTAGCCATCCCACTGTCTGTCCTAGAGGTTGAAATTGAAGCAAGTATGAAGCAAGTTTCAGGATGCAACAGAAAGTAGTGAACTTAACTGGCTTGGGCTCCCTAGAGAACTTTATTATACTCACTTGATATTATTAAATGGTGGCTGGGATTAAGAAACTAAGCAATCCTGTGTAATTTCAGGTTCAGGATGAACCAGGCACAGGATGACCCTTAATAACCAGTTAGCTGCTGTCTATGTCACAGGACCAGACACCTGGAATATTAAGCCGATTACTAGATTACCAAACAGTGCTGATGTTTGATGATCTCTTATCCTCTAGCAAAGAACAGGCCTATTACCATTTCTTTTTCTTTGCAATTCCGTTGCTCTTTTCCAAAGGCTTATTTTTTTAATTATACTAGTTTATAAACAAAGTTTATAAAGTTCATACACTTTGAAAAACAAAAGCTTATTATTATTTATTTCTGCATATTAGTTGGACAAAAGGACAAGAGTTTCAAGGGCAACTCTATTTTAACACTCATCATCAGTTGTATCTTTCTATAGCATGAGCATTTTCACCATTTCAGAAAGACTTGACATTAGTTAATTGACTCTCATATTTTCTATCTACAAATCCCTCATCTGTTCATGTTTACATCTGTTGAGCATCAGTACCCTGCCTGCTACCTGTTCCAAAAAAGACCTGCAATGTGCCTGATAAAATCAAACTCTAGTCCACTCTGATTTGGAAATGGAACGTGAAGAAAGACAAATTCATATCTGGGGACCTGAAATATTAGTGTCTTACCTTATTACTAATAATCATTCTGCAATATTCAAATAGCTAGAATACAGCCTCCCAACCACCTCCTCTCAGGACAAATTTACAACAGTTGCCCGTCTCTGGCTTACAGTTTTTGTATAATATTTATTTAATGCCTGTAAATATAGAAAAGCTAAGAGTAACACTCTAAAGATTATTGTGTAGGATTTCTGTACTGTGCAAGCAGATTTTCTAAAAAGCAGTAACTTAATATTGTTTTGGAGAAATGTAATGGAGTGTACCAGGGAGATCTGATGGCCTGGAGGTAAGAAGCTGCACGGCAATCAAAACATGTGGTTCTAATCCATCAGATTCTCCAAGGGAGAATATGGGCAATCTTCTCTTGTGAGATTAACTGCCTCTGAAAAGTCCCTGGAGGTTCAGCTATGGGTTGGTTCAGACTCAGTGGCAAACAACAACCAGGAATTTATAGAAATACGTCTTTCATGCTATGTAAATTTTGAAATGGAGTTCAAATATTTTTAGTACTCTAAAGTATTAAAGTTCT